AAGTCTATCGTTCTATGTATCAATAAGATTCAGAAGTCAAAGGCTAGGGTGAAAACCTGCTAGCTCAGGCTGAGTAGCAACTGGCTGACCTTGTTTTTCATCCAGAGACAGTGCAAGAGACACATTTCATCCCACAACCAAGAGGAAACTCAAACTCCAGTCCCTGCCTTTCCTTCCTGTGTGCCTTCTCGATCCAAATTTATGACTTCTCTATGGGCAATTCCAGTCATCTAGTGGCTCCACCCCCTAATTCAGGGTCTAACTATGGGGCAGTCTCAGGGGTGTCAGAGTGTGATCAAAATATTCCACAACAGTTCTGAGTTTATTATGAACAGAGCAGGTTGGGGAAGCAGAGTAGGTGTGTGTGTGTGTGGGGGGGGGCAGATTAGGTCTATAGGTTGGAAATGGCTTGGGGTGTAATGAAGTCAGTAGACAGAGGGGACTGGGGGTGGGGAGATATGCAAGGATGTGCTTTCTGTTCCAAGCCTAGATCTGTCTGGTGGAAAGCTTGGATATGATGTGTGACAGTCCTGTTTTGGGATTTTGGACAAAATGTTTCACCAAGGTGCAACTAAGCTGGTGCACTGGTTGTGGGACCCAGGCTGGATGTGGTTGTTGGTCAAGTTCGGCTGGGGCAGAGGGGGTGAGGCCCAGGGTCGACCCTGGAGGAGGAGAGCGTGCGAAGTCTGGGGGCTGAGTCCAGTTCTATCATACGTGTGTGTGTGTGTGTGTGTGTGTGTGTGTGTGATATGATATGATTATATATATATATATGATGTGACTAAACAGAAGAGTTTAATTTTTCCTAGTTTTCAGTTCCTAGCATAGAATTTTGAATAGAAATCTACATATTATGTGTGTATTTTACCACCCTCTTCACTCAATATTGTTTGTGATTTGGATATTATTGTAGTACATTTTTTACTGTGTATGGTATTCTTTTGCACAATCCTGAGTGGTCACTTGAGTAATTATAGTTTAGAACTATTATAAGTAATGTTTTTATCAACATGCTTATACAAGCAGCCTGGTATTCATATGAAAAGTGAACGAGCTATTGATTGTTTTTAATAAAATCTTGTGCCAGTTTTTATTATTGCTACTGTCAAGCATCCAAATTTAGGATTAAAGCAGCACTCATTCTGTGCTCCTTTGTAGAGACAATGACACATAGGTGTTCTAAAGGTATTATCTTTTAGCTGGGATGTTAGCAACTAAAGATGAAGTCTTTGCTTTTAAGGTTCTATTTATTAGCCTGAGCTACAGACCCGTGACTCAGAGGATCTGCCACAGGACTGTGGATTGTGGGAGTGTGTATAGCATTTTGCTGCTGTGTTTGGGCATATCAGATCCAGAGGATGGGATGAATGAGTAACTGCAATAAAAGTGAGAGACTTTGACTTTCAAGCTTCACTTCAGCAGATACATGTATTGGATGCAAGTCCTTATCTTACACTCCTTTAGCATCCCCCAGTTACTGAGGGTCTTCTTGCTGACTGCCAGGGCTGCCCTCTCATTGCTCAGCATCCCTATGCCACAGTTACTTCCAAGGACTCCGAAGCTTGACATTGATTTTTGTTTCCCCATGGTGGGGTGAGGCATATGTCATGGGAGTGGTTGTTGGGCAAGAGAGTTTTCAGATACCCTATGACCTGTTACTAATAAATCCCTAAAGATGGGTTTGTTTCAGAATGCACCCTTACAGTGGCTCCTTGGTAATGTTTACTTTCATACGTTCTGTTCCACTTGATAACAAACACTACCTCCCTTCAACACTGTGTTCTCCCTGTCTCCTCTGAACTCTTTTGATGGAGCTCACAAGGACTGGGGGGCTGAGGGGAGGCCCGAGAGGGATTCTGGTCTTGCAACCTGTCGTTTTGTTTACCTCTTCCTTCTACAACCAGAACAGCAGCGCTGGTGATGCTTGTCACCGGGAATGCCTGTGAGCAGGGACAGGAATTGAATCTTTGAGCTGTGCTGTATTCAGAGTCAGCGATCAGAGGATAGAGGATTAAAACCCTCCAAATCTGCTTTCCCTTCTCAGCTGCAGCTAGAACCCTTGGTAGGAAATGGAAAAAGAGCCAATAATTCCAACGTTGAGTCTTCTGTGTGGCAAGTGCTAATCCTCGCCTCTGAGATGAATGCTTGCACAGACCTTCACATTTCGCTCGTTATTGTCCCTCTGCAATGAGATTTTCATACTTGAAGGCCACTTCCTGAGCCCTCCAGCCCAGTAACGGTATCCAAGGAGATCCCTCTCCGCAAGTGTTCCCTTACAGAGAATACAGAATATCACTGTTGCTTCCCCATCCTTAGCCCAGTTTTTCCCATTTTGGAATAGGAATATTTACCCTGTGCCATTCTATGTTTGAAGTGTACAACTTGTTTTGATGTTATAGGAACTCACAGTTAAGAGGCTTTGGATGGGGACTTTTTAAAGTTACGCTGAATGAATTTTATACTATAAAATGGCCACGAGCCGTGGGATGGCTTAAAAGCAGTGTTTTGGAGTCACATTGACAAGGAATGGAATTATGATAGTTAGTGTTACTAATTTAACAGAATCTAGAATAACCTAGAAGATGGGCATCTGAGCCATGTTCCTGGGTCATTTTCTAAATAAGACTGGGTGGCATGTTGGAGCCCACTAGGTTTCCCAGTGGCTGTACCCAGCAGGACTGCATAAGAGGTTGATTGGGCCATGGGCCTGGGTACCAGGTGACTGTAACTAGCAAGGGGGAGGTCTTTTGCCCCACCCCTTGGCATTGGTATAAATAGACCTTTGGAATAAAGTTCTGGGCCAGTGGATAAGGATCCAGGCCCACCTGAGTCTATCCTGTGTTCGTTCTATCTATCTATCTATCTATCTATCTATCTATCTATCTATCTATCTATCTCTCCCTAAGTCTCTTATTCCTCAAGAGTTCCTGGGGTAAATAAGTATGGGGGCTGGTCCCTTACAGTGGTACCATCCCTTGACAGGAGATTTGGACTCTATAGAATGGAGACAGAGAATTTACAATGGTTGGGTTTCTTCTCTGTGATTACGGAAACAGTGTTGCCAGCTGTTCTGAGCTCCTCCTGCCTTGACTTCCTGTCCGCGGTGTACCTTGTACTGGGGACGAAAGTCAACCCTTTTCCCTCCGAAGCTGTTGGTGTGCGAGGGTTTTATCAGAGCAGGGGGAACAGGGACAAAGGTGCCTGTGAACCAGGTCTCTGCTTCTCCGTAAGTACTGCGTGGCCCTCTTAGCTACTTTTCAATTCCTGTTACAAAGCACCGTGTCCAACAACAACAACAACAACAAAGTATTTAATGTGGGACCTAGAATCCACGACTGTTGTGTTGGAGAGCATGATAGGCAGACAAGCAGGATACTGGAGCAGTAGCTGAGAGCTCACAGATCCATCCACAAGCAGGAGACAGAGGAAGCTAATTGGGAAGGGTTTTTGAAACCTCAGAGCCCACCCCAGTTACACAATCATCTAAGAAGGCCACACCTCCTAATGTTGCCTAAGTAGTTCCACCAGCTGGGAACCAGGCATTCAGACTTATAAACCTGTGGGGCCGTTCTCATTCAAACCACCACAATGGCTGACTGCAGGAGGGCTTTGAAAACTTGGCCTCATATGAGAGAAAGAAATGGTTAATTTGCCATTGATACCTGTAAAGAGTTTTTGCTCATATTATGAAAATAAGGTTGCAAGATGTTTTTGAGCACTGCTGCTTCAGTGTGGACAAACAGTAAGCTAATAATTATGTTTGTTTTATTTGTTGTGTACAGTGTATCTGTTTGTGGTTTGTGTGCATTTGGAGGCCATAGGTCAGCCTCGGGTCACTTTGTTTTTTGAGGCAGGATATCTTACTTGCCCTGGAATTGACCAATTAGACTAGGCTGCCTAGCCAGCAAGCCCCAGGGAGTCTTGCCTCTGCTTCCCAGTGCTGTGCTCATCTGTACACAGCCACCATCTCCAGCTTTTTCATGGGTTTTGGAGCTTGAATTCAGGTCAAGGGAGGAAATCAGAAAGCCTGCTGGTGCAGACATTCTCACTCTCCGCTTCCTGGCCACTGTATTATGAGCTGCTTTGCTCCACACCAGCCTTCTCATGATGCTGGGACGAAGCCTCTTAGTTTGTGAGCCAAAGTAAGTCATCCTTTTAAGTTTTTCTCGGTGGTTTGTTGTAGCAACAAAACGTCGAATACATCAGCTTAAGGGGGAAGGATTTCTTGTAACTCATATTTCCATAGTTTTGGGTCTGTGGTCGCTCGGCCCCATCACTGTGGTCCTGTAGCAAGACAGAACATCCTGACAGGGTAGCAGAGCACCGCCACTCTCTGGGAAGCAGTGGGAGAAATGAGTGGGAAAAGAGGCAAGTGGTGCCCTTGGCAGACGCGTGCCCAGTGTTCTACTGCCGCCTCTAACGAGCTGTTACCTCCCAATAGCTCATTCGGTGTAAATTCATCAAAGATAGCCCTCCTCAAGATCAACCTTCAATAACCGGATCCACCAGGCGGGATACCAAGGCTTCAGCATCAGTTTTTTGGAGGACACTTAATAAACTATGCAGTTATAATGGGAATAAGTAGTAACAATAGAGAAAACTCCCTCAGAAGTCTTAGGTTCCTAATATGTGACCACTAAAAGCAAATAGGGTAGACTAGATTATAATGTGATAGCAAAGTACTTAACAATCTCAATAACTTACCACAGCTACATAGGTCTACTGTTCACTCATTTTATGTCATGAATGTTTCACTCTGGGACCCTGGCCCATGGAACAAATCTACCTGAGATGTTGCTTATCTCATGAAGGAGAGGGAAAAACAGATGGTGAATGAGAAGTTGGCTTTTAAAGCTTCTCTTCATATTTGAGCAAAATAGGACACATATCTATTCCGTAGTAAATAAGACAGGATGTATAATCCTCTCAAGGAAGGGCCAGTGACTGTTTCCACCAGTAAGAGAACCTCCCATGCTAATAGTGTAACCTTGTGACCTTAGGTGCGTATGGAAACTACAGTGTACCGACCAGTCCTGTCTCCAACCCGCGTCAACGCAACAGCGTCTGAGACGTTCACAGTGCTTCAGCAGAAGATGAGAATTGTTGAGGAGCAGACCAGTTCCCTGAGAGATGACCTGCTGATGCTGGGCTGTGCTGACAAACGGTAACAGAAAGTTAGCTAGATTGTTGCTGCAGTGTGAAGACTTTTAACCTGATGCTTAGCAAAAAGCAGATGAGGTAGATAATTCCGGGAAATATGTTTCCGTGTGAACTTTGACGCAAACATATTTTTAGATAGAGTTGTCGTTCTGTGATAGAGTGTCTTTGTTACTTTTCTGTTGTTGTAATAAAACATCTTGACCAAGGCAACTTACAGAAGAAATGGCTTATTTGGGGCTTCCTGTTCCTCAGGGCTATGAGTCACCATGGTGGACTGGAGGTAGAAGCAGCAGGCGGCTGGAGCAAGAGCTGGGAGCTCACTTCTTGAACAGCAGCCAGGAAACACAGGAGATACTGGGAATGGCAGGGGCCTTTTGAAACCTCAGAGTCCACCCCCAGTGACACTTCCTCTACCAAGTCCACACCTCCTAACCTCCCCATATGGGGCTATCATTCCGGAGTCTGGTATTCAAATGCCTGAAACTTCTGGGCAAATCTCATTCAGAGCACCACCAGATGTTAGTCAGATCTGTGTTACTGTAACAAAATACCCCAGAGGCCATCTTAAGGGAGGAAGGATTTGCTATTGGCTCTCTGTTTCAGAAGTTTGGGTTCTTGGTGCTTGGCCCTGTCACTTGGGTCTGAGGTGAGGCAAAATATCACGGCAGAGAAGACTCAGCAGACCTAGAACCTCCTGGCAGCAGAAACAGAAGTGTTAGAAGAGTGGGAAAAGACAGGTTTCCTTTAGCAGTCCCCAGCTCCTAATGGTGTCCTCAGTGTGCACTCGTCCATGGTAACTCAGTTCTGTTACCTTTCCATGGGTGGGTCCACCCCCGGGTACCTTTGCCTTTAACATGTGAGCCCTTGAGGAGCACTGTATGTACAAGCCGTAAACATAGCCACAAACAATATTTTAGATCTTATTTGGAAATCATTTAAAAGAAAAACTGAAATGATTCAGGCCTTTAATTTGGTCTTCATTTTTTTCCTCATATGTATTATAAATTAAAAGGCAGGTTTGAAATCCTTAACTGTTTCATGCTTTAGAATGAGGAACTATTATAGACCTGTTTTTTCCCCTGTAGTGCTAAAGAATTTTTTTGTTGCTGTTTTAAAGCTCGTTGGCTTGTTAATAGTTAGGGTTATACATGTTTATGCAGCCAATATAGAATTTACTGGTGTGATTTGTTTTAGAAAAATCATAAGTATTTTCTGAGTGTCTCATATTAAAACTTTATAGTAGTGTAGTTGTTATTGTAGGGCACATAAATTACTTTTATCATTTAAAGATTAAATTTGGTATAAATGCTGAGTATTTTGATAAAACAATAAGAAATTGTTTCATGTTGTTTAAATATATTGCTTCTATGCTAACTTTAATTTCTAAGTTACCATTATAAAATTAATATTAACCATGTTTTATGTGTCAATGTTTGGTGTTGATTTACATAAGAAGTTTTTTTTTTAACTTCAGATTAAAATAAACAGCCAAAGGGATGGAAAAATGGCTCAGACTAAACTGTTTGCCATTCAGTATGAGGGCCTGAGTTCAGATCCCAGCACCCACACCCACATACACGTTCCCCATCCCAAACCCCTAAGGCCCCTCAAAGCTGGGCATATCAGTGTTTGCAGTCCTGGGTATGTGGAGACAGGTGGATTGCTGGCCAGTCAGTCTAGCCTAACTGGCAAGTTACAATTTCAGTGAGAGGCTCTGTTTCAAAAACTAAGGTAGAGATTGAGGAAGTCACCCAGTGTCAGCCCCTAGCCTGTGCACACATGCGTGGCCAGCTGGGGTCATAGATGAATGCTGCTGCATTTTGTGAGGCTGCCGGGGATCTGACTCAGGATGTGGGTTTTTCTCTTACAAGGCAGCACTTGACCTGGGGAGCCCCGTGCCCAGACCCCTCTGCACTGTCTTCTACACGTGATTGTCTTTGGCAGACAGGACAGATTCATTTCTTTTCTGAGTTTGGTGCCTTTCATTTTGTTGTTCCTAATTGCTCTTCTCCAGCTGCTGAATACTTGTGGTGAAATTAGACGTCTTAGTCTTTACCTTAGAGGAAGCCTTCAGCGTTTTACAATTGTGTGGCCTTGACAGTGTTGAGGAGCACTCATCCTCTGTGCTGTTTGTTGGCAACTTTTTATGAGGGGCGTTGGCTTTGTCAGTTTTTCCCTGCATTTATTGAAACAATCATAAGGGTTTTGCTTGTCAGTGCCTTGCAACAGATGAGGAAAAGGGCAGGCCACCTAAGTGCAGCTAGGAAGCTTGGCCTGTTTGATTTGTGTCCCTCTGTTCTCAGGGTGAAGCTGAGAGCAGACATTGTGTTGTCCACTCTGGCTTGCGAGAGCGTCCGTGTCTGGTGTCTCTGCTGTCCTTTGCACTGCACCCCTGATCCTGGGAAACGGCTCTTGGAAGCGGCTCCCATGTCCACCTCTTTATTTTCGGTGGTCTAGGGACATTCAGAAATGCAGAACCCCATCGAGTCCCAGAGCTAGGTGTTAAAGATGTAGTCTCTTGTGTAGGATCTGTAGAGTGGGACACGCAGCCCTGGACTCATCTCAGGAAGGATCTGTAGAACTGTAGCTGTCACCACAGTGAGGCTGGGGAAGACTGAAAGTACTGTGCTTCCTTCAGGCAGTTGGAGGTCTGTGGTTTGTTTGCCTCATTACTTCTTGTTGTAGTCAAGGTTTCTATTGCTATGAAGAGACACCATGACCAGGGCAACTCTTATAAAGGAGAACATTTAATTGGGACCGGCCTACAGTTTCAGAGGTTTAGTCCATTATCATCGTGGCAGGGAAACATGACAGCTTGCAGACAGGCAGGCAGGGTGCTGGAGGAGGAGCTGAGAACTCTACATGTTGATCTACAGGCAGCAGGGAATGAACTGACTCCCACACTGAGCATAGCTTGAGCTTCTGAGACCTCAAAGCCCATCCCTACAGTGACACACTTCCTCCAGAAAGGCCCAACCTACTCTAACGAGTCCACACCTCCTAATAGTGCCAGTCCCTATGGGCCAAGCATTCAAACACATGAGTCTATGGGGGCCATACCTATTCAAACCACCACATTTTACTCCCTGGCTCCCATAGGCTTATAATCATAACACAGTGGAATATGCATTTAGTCCAACTTCAAAAGTCCCCATAGTCTATCACAGTCTCAACAATGTTTAAAGGTCCAAAGTTCAAAGTCTTTTCATGCAATCTCTTAACTGTAATCCCCTGTAAAATCAAAATCAAACACAAAGATCACATACTTCTAACATATAATAGCATAGGATATGCATTACCATTCCAAAATGGAGGAAAGGGAGTGTAGTGAAGAAATACTGGACCAAAGCAAGACCAAAAATCAGCTCGAAAACTCCAAACTCTGCATCTCCATGTCTGATGTCAAATCGCTCTCAGATCTCCAGCTCCTATTAGCTTTGTTGACTGCAACACAATTCTCTCTCCTGTCCTGGTTCCACTCTCTGCCAGCAGCTTTCCTTAACAGGTATCTCATGACTCTGGCATGTCCAACATCTTGGGGTCTCCAAGGCAGTCCAGGCTTCTCCTTCACAGTTTCATACATTGGCCTCTCTAGGCCTCCATGCAGGGACATCCCTGACACATGGCTGGCCTCAGCAGCTTTACGTAGTCAAGGAGGAAGATTCCATGACCCTTTTCTTCCCATGACCCCTTTCTTCTATCCTTGACTCTAAAGCCAGGATCAGATGGCTGAAGCTGCCAAGTTTTACTGCCTTTGCTGGGGTGGGAACATGGTCCCCTTGCTCAAATGACATCTTCACCAACCTTTTGTTTTTGATGGTTTCCTTCACTGCCTAAACTAGGCCTTCCTAGAACTTGCTTTGTAGACCTTCTGAGTACTGAGGTTAAAGGTGTATACCACCACGTTGGACCTAAGCTGTTCTTTATATTCCATTTCTTAGTCTATTTATCACCTTGAACACAGGACTTAGCTTCATTCCACCTCCTGGTGAACCTTTTCTCCTTAGTCTGTACAGTTTGTAGTTTAACTTAATTGGCTTGCTTCTTTTCATTCTAAATCTTCATTAGTGTTAACACGTTAGTTATTAAACCACACGACAGAGTCTATTCTAGGCTGTTTTGAGATTTACTCTACTAATGAATTAATCCAAATTTCTTCACTGTAGCCTCAGGCAGACTCTTCTGACAAGGGCAAAAAGCAGCCACATTCTTCACCAAAATATCACAAGACTCTCTCTAGGCAGCATACTAAACATCTCCTCTGAAACCTCTTGAGCCAGATCCCACAGTTCAGATCACCCTCAGCACCACTGTCTTCCATGTTTCCACTACTAGGGCCCATTAAGCCCTACAGTGTTTAACTGCTTTTTTAATCAAGCTCCCAAAGTCCACATTCTTCTAAAGAAAAGTGTGGTCAGTCCTGTCACAGCAATACCCCAGTCCATGGTACCAACTTCTGTCTTAGTTAGGGATTCTATTGCTGTGAAGACACACCCCATGACCATGGCAACTGTTGTAAAGGAAAACATTTAGTTGGTACTGGCTTACAGTTTCCGAGGTTTGGTCCTTTATCATCATTGTGAGAAAACATGGCAGCATGCAGGCAGGCATGGTGCTGGAGAAGGAGTTGAGAGATCTACATCTCGATCTGCAGGCAATAGGGAGTGAACCTACTCCCGCAGCTTGAACTTTTGAGACCTCACAGTGACATACTTCCTCCAACAAGGCCACACCTCCTAATAGTGCAGCTCCCTATAGACCAAGTATTCAAACACATGAGTCTATGAGGCCCATACCTACTCTAACCACCACACTTCCCCATGCAAGTTAGCCAGGAGCCAGGTCACTGAAGCATGTGCAGAGAAATCCCTTCAATGTAGAAACCAGGAGCTATGTTTGCATGGATCCATAGGAGTAGAAACTCTGGACGTGCTTGCACTCCTGTTTACAGCAGCCTGTTGGTGGTGTGATCTACAAAGACTCAAATGTCCCTTCCTGTCCAGTGAGAGAACTGGGAGAATTTGAATGCCCTTCTTTACGGGGCATTCAGCAATGAACTAGTTTCTCCTTAGGTAGATTGGTAGTTGTAGGATAAGCTGGAGAGAAGGCTTGGGAAGCACTGAGCTCCTTTTTAGGCTCCGGAGCCCCAGTTGTTGGTCTACTTAATTCAGTTGTCAGCAGCAGTAGGAGAGGACACTGGCAAACCCCTTTTAGGATCTTCTTCCTGGGGAATCAAGTCCTTGCAAGTGTGCATTTTTCTAGAACTGTCATTTTGTTCTGTGGTCTAGAGGCATTCGTACTCTTAATCCCTTTGTTCATATGGCCAGGAGAATTCAGGGGCCAAAGCTCAGGGAATGTAAGAGTTAGGGTGATGTAGCCCTTCTGTCCTTCTATCCTTAGGGAAAATTGGGAAGTCAGAGATTTTGTTCTAGTTGTCGAGTGTATGCCTTGGGTAGGGGTTGGATCTAACTGTGCCTCAGCCTTTTCTGAACATCCAGTGTGGATATGTGGAAGAGTCTCATCTTGTTCTTGACACTCTCTTAGAAAGAACTGGTCTGTGTTTAGTGCTGTTTTTGTGCGTTCTTGTCTGAAGGAGTCAGGAGCCTCAGGTTCTACCACGTTGGTGTCACTGCCGTACTAACTAGAGTGGCTGCATCAGTTCAAATGACTGCTTTCACCACCGTAGAAACTGCATGATGTAATGTTGTTTTGGGGTGCTTTTCCAGAGGTCAATTAGAAACTTCAGACTATTTCGGAGACCCTGCCAGCCAGAAAATCATTAGTCCTATCCCAAGTGAAGTAATTTGTCCAGAAAAACCAGGTATTTTATGGAAGAACTGGGAGTTTCTGGTAACTCGAATGTGCCATTTGGAAAACCTCATCCAGTCCCTGAAGATGAGCATCTTCCATCTGCAAACTGAGAAGGAGCTGAATCCACAGAAAACAGGTATGGATGAAGAGGATGGCTACAGAGAACTCGGTTCTGCGAAGGTGCTTGCTGTCTCTGTGATTCTGGGCCCTTGCTCACCTTCTGCTCTGTCCTCTGTGCTGCCCGTAGCTTTTCTGAAGGATCAGCTGAATACAATACAGGAGGAGCACTGCATGGACCTGAAGCTGCTGCGCCTGGAAGTGATGAATTTGCGCCAGCAACTGAAAGATGTCAAGGAGGAGGAAGACAAGGCGCAGGATGAAGTGCAGAGACTGATGGCCACTTTGGAAATAGCCACCGAGACAACGGTTCGTGTTCCATGTTCTCAAGTGCAGTTTCCCTGCTCCAGAGAGCCAAGAGCTCCAGAAAACTGAGTTTCAAATGGGTGGTGTGGACCTTAAATTCTTGGCATTTGAAGTGTGTCTGCACTGATAACCTCCAGCAGTGTGTGTTGTCAGTGGTTGTTAGTAGACCTCCTGCTGTATATGAAAGATAGTGAGCATCCAAACTCTGTCCTCTTTCAGAGCTACATGGTAGTTGGGAGGCTAAGGCACAACATGACAAATTAAATAAGAAAAAGTCTAAGTAGAAGACACTGAGGGGACATTGCACAGGAAGACTGTACTCGGGCATGTTTGAGAGAAGGAGAATCTTGGCCGGTATAGATCAGTCACCTTCAGATATGATACACTTGATATGAAGACAGAGTGCTAAGGGCATCTCAGGGACACATTTGCAGGCAGAGAGGACACCAGCAGTGTTGTTCTGTTCCAGGGACAGTCTGTTTTAATGAGAGGAGTGGGGCTGAGGGAAGTCTCTTGTCCACAATCATGTGCTCGTCCTCCTCCTGTAACTAAGATTTTTCTGCTGGGTGCCATGGGTTAAAATATCTAAACTCCAGCTTTCCTGGAGTGAGAATTTGTGGGAAGTAAGCTGAGTACTGCAAATTTCACATTGCAGAGCATCTAAAAATCAAGAATAATTAACACTTTGGATAATCAGTGGGGAGTGATTAAGAATTTTGATGGAGAATCTATGTAACAAGAGGGGAAACTAACTAGATATTACTATCTACTGACTATGGAGAGGAGACTAACTAGATGTGACTGTACTGACTATGGAGAGGAGACTAACTAGATGTGACTATCTACTGACTATGGAGAGGAGACTAACTAGATGTGACTGTCTACTGACTATGGGAGAGGAGATTGGTAGCAAAGAAACCAGTTTGGGTTCTTTTATGAGTCTACATAGGTCAGAACTAGCATGGTGGCGTTTTGAAGGGAGAAGGGATATTTTATGAAAGATATTCTAGAATTGGGTACAGGGTAGAAACTGAAGGTAAAAAAGAAGAAAACCACAACTTGAGTCTTTATCTCTAGGATTATATCTACTTTATATCTAGTAATAATTGAAAAGTGTGTTTTCATTCTGAATTCCTAAGCACGAATAGCATTTGAAACTGGTAGTGGTGGTATATGCCTTCTTAAATACATCCAGCACTTAAAACACAGCTGTGTCTCTGAGTTCAAAGCCATTGATCTACATAGTGAGAAACTCTCTCTGTCTCTGGGTTAAGAGCACTGACTGCTCTTTCAGATGACTCAGGTTTGATTCCCAGCACCCACATGGCAGTTCACAACTCTCTGTAACTCTAGTTCTAGGGGATCCATCACCCTCTTCTGGCCTCTGTGGGCACCAGACATGTACATGGTACACATATACACATGCAGGCCAAATCTTAGATACATAAAAATCTTTAAAAAATAGTCCAATTGTGAGGACTGGAGTTTGGATCCCCTTGACCTACATGGATTCTAAGCCAGCAAGGCAGCCCTAACATTCAGAAGGCAAGAACAATCTCCCTGGAGCAAGCTGGCTAAACAGACTAGCAAATTCTAGGATGGCCGAGTTCAGATGAGAGGCCCTTACTCAATGTGTAGTGCAGAGGGTAATGCATGGAGACACCCATTGTCATCTTCTGGCCTCCACATACATATGTACATGTGTGCACACACATGTGTACCCATACATATATACACGTACATATGCATACATGTGCACACACACATTTACCCATACATACATACACATGCATATGCATACTTGTGCATACACACATTTACCCATACATACATACACATGCATATGCATACTTGTGCATACACACATTTACCCATACATACATACACATGCATATGCACATATGTACACACACATTTTATTTTTGCACACACATGCAAAGAATAAATAGCACTTATAAGTTGCCGGGGGTGGGGAGCACTGGATTTGACTGGATACACCCAGAGACAGTTTCTTCCTGTCATTTCAGGTTACTAGATCTTTCCTCCTTCTCTTTCTAGAAGAATGCAGCTGTTATTGAGGAGGAGCTGAAGACCACAAAGCGTAAAATGAACCTTAAAATTCAAGAGGTAAGAGAAGGAAAGGGGAAATCAAGGAAGTGTAAAGAATGAAAAGAATCCTTTGAAGAAGAAGCCATGTTATTGTGTAAACACTTAAAACATACCACACAGAGCTGAAGCAAGAGTGTCTGCTGTCTGTTCCTAAAGATGTTCTCGTGTGTTAAAACTGCCCTGAAACTGGAACAACAACAAAACCCAACAAACAACAAACACCTTTGAGCCGGTAGATAAACAGTTACTAAATATGGTGGCCCATAGGCGGCTGTTAAGTAAAACCTTCACCTTTGTGTGGCATTTTAATATAAGTTATGTTAAGATGAAAACTCTACCCTTCTTTTACCTTGCAACCTTCACGTCAGCTGAAATGTTTGGAATTCTGGAAGGGGTGGCTGCCAAAAGCAGTTGATTTAGTTGTGGGTCTCTGTGTTGCTTTCATCTATTCAGAAGGAAGCTCCTCTGAGGCTTTAGAGATGTCCTGATCTGGGTATAAGGATAAGTCACTGGACTCAGTTTCACTCTGTCCCTTAAGCAGTGTGCAAGGTTCTTCACTATGACCTAACTAACCTCAGGTCCTCAGCCCCAGTGATGGTGGTTTTTGTGTGTCAACACAAGCTCCAGTCATCAGAGGAAGGAGCCTCAGTTGAGGAAATGTCTCCATGAGATCCAGGTGTAAGGCATTTTCTCAACTAGTGGACAATAGGGAGGGCCCAGCACATTGTAGGTGGTGCCATCCCTGGGCTGGTGGTCCTGGGTTCTATAAGAAAGCAAGCTGAGCAAGCCATGATGAGCAGGCCAGTAAGCAGCACCCTCCATGGCCTCTGCATCAGCTCCTGCCTCCAGGATCCTGCCCTGTTTGAGTTCCTGTCTTGACTTCCTTTGTTGATGAATGGCAATATGGAAGTGTAAGCTCAATAAACCCTTTCCTCCCCAACTTGCTTTTTAGTCATGGTGTTTCTCACAGTATTAGTAATCCTAACTACAACAAGCCTATATTTTTATTTCATTGTATCAGTTCTGTTCTGTAGAGAAGCTTGACTAATTTGGCCCTTTTTAGATATTTTAAATTTTAATTACTATTTTTTCATTTATTTTACACACCAACCACAGTTTCCCCTCCCTCCTCTCTTCTTGTCCTCCCTCCCATTTATCCCCCTCCCCATCCACTCCTCCTCTGTCTCCACTCAGAAAGGGGCAGGTCTCCCATGGGCTTGAACAAAGCATGGCACATCAAGCTGAGGGAGGCAGCTTTGGGGACAGAATGGAGCGGGAGAGTAATAGAAGATATGTCTTGATGGAGGTGGGGCATTTCTGGGTTAGGGAGAAACCTGGTACCAGGGAAACCCCCAGGAGTTCACAAGGATGACCCCAGCTAAGACTCCTAGCAGTACTGGAGAGAGTGCCTGAACTGGCCATCTACTGTAATCAGATTGGTGACTACCCTAATTGTCATCAGAGAGCCTTTTAGATATCTTAACATAAACCTCAATATTTTTTGGTTTATAGAAAAGTTATGCAGAAAGTATGTACCCACTCTCTAAACTCCCAGTTTTTTTTTCTAACATTATATGAGTGAGGTAGTTTGGCCACAATTTAAGAAATGATACTGATGTGTCACTGACGTCAGTAGTTTACATTAGAATTCACTTTCTGTACTGTAGATTTCTATGAATTTTAACAAATCTATCATGCCGTGTACCCACCAGTCCAGGATCAAGCACAAAGTTTCACTGTCCTAAAAATGCCTTGTTCTCCACACACAGCCTCACCCCTTCTGCTAACCCCCCGGTGAACACTGAGCTTTGCATTGTGTGTGGTTTGGGTATAGTTGAGATCATCCTTTTGGACTGTACAGTTTAAGTTTCTTCATGTCTTCCCAAGGCTGATAGTTCATACCTTTTAATTTCTGAACAGTAATGTATTACATGTAGCACTGTTTCCTCATCCATTCACTTGTTTGTACTTTGAACCATGGTGTCCTTGAGAGGGGGAGGTCTTTTGCCCCCCTCCTTGTTTTGGGTATAAAAAGGCTGTGAGTAATCAACTCAGGGCAACTCTGATATTGACTCAAAGCTTTCCCAAACCTATTCTGTGTCTCTGTTTCTTTTACATCTACGTCATCTCTATTTTTCATCTCTTATTTCTCAATCCTCACTCCTCTCTTCAAGGCTGTTGGACAGGCTGAGTGGGACCCAGCAGTAAAGCTGTTTGGACAAAAGGGTAGAATGTATGACACACAGCAGTCCCAGTGCCACTAAGATGAATGAAGAGGTGGGAAGAATGGAGGAGTGAAGAGTTTTCCTTTTTTTAAAAAATTACTGTTTACTTTTTTCTTATTTTTATTTTTTAGCTTTCCTTTGGGGGGCACTACAAGAGGGAGAGGTAGATATGGGAGGGACTGGGAGATGAGTGGGATTGTGGTGCATGTTGTGAAATTCCCAAAGAATCCAAAAGACAATAAAAAAAGATTTCCACTCACTTGGGTAAATAACCCTAGAGTATAATTGCTGGGTTGTAATGCAAGTCATATTTAGTTTTATTAGGAACTATTAACCCATCTTACAATCTAGTGAGACCATTTTGCATTTCTACCATCAGAGAATGAAATGCTTTGTTGCTGCACACTCTCCTCAGTGTTTGGTGTCAGTGTCTTGAATTCTTGATATTCAAATAGATGTGTAGTTTATCTTGTTCTAAGTTGAATGCCCCAATAATATATGATGTGAGAAATTTTTCTTGTATATATCTCCATTGGTGAAGAATATTATAGATTATTTTCTCATAATTGAATCTTCTTAGTTTTGAGTTTTTTACTTTGTATATTTTGGGTCTAATTTGAAGGTACCCTTGTAAATGGACATTTCCAGTCCCAATTGCCAGTTCCCAAATAACCGACTTAGAGCCTTAATATTACTTGTAAATGCTTGGCCAGTAGCTCAGGCTTGTTACTAACTAGTTCTTACAACTCAAATTAACTCATTTCTATTAATCTATGTATTGCCACGTGGCTCAAGGCTTTACCTGTCCTCTGGTATATTTTGCTTCCTGGGCAGTTGTCTGGAGTCTCCTCTCTCCTCCCTTCTCCTCATCATCCTTAGTTTGGTCACCCCACCTATACTTCCTGCCAGGCCAATCAGCATTTTATTAAACCAATTCAAGTGACAAATCTTTACAGTGTACCAAGAGGATTATTCCACAGCATTTCTCCCTTTTTGTCTAATTAAAAAACGAAAGGTCTTAACTTTAACATAGTAAGACTATATACAATAAAAACAGTTATCAAGTAAATTACAGTTGTAATATCCAATCTATTTGTATTTGGTAAAATTAGAGAAAAATACTCTATTATCTATCTTATCTTTGTGAGTCCCAAGTTTTGTACCTAATTTATCTTTTATTATAACTAAAGAAAAACAACTATCTAGTCTCTAACTCCATCAAAGACTCCAGAAGGATGAAATGTTACCTAATGACAGGGATATCAGGCTGCCTGGATAGTTACCCAAAGTTTCTCTGTAACATTGTGGCATCCAGCTCTGGCCTACAGGCCTAGCATATCTGACAGACTTTCTGGTGAAGCAGGGAATTTTGAAGGACTGTCCAACCTTGTCTTGGCAAAGTTCATCAGTCACCTTTCTTGTATCCTGCTGGTCCAGTTTGGACAGTAACTGTCAGCAATTGAGGCAAGGGCATTCTCTTTGCCCACATGGCTAGCTTTTGCCATAAAGAAAACAAACTCCATATGGAGTTTCTTTGATGCCCATCATCCTCTTTGAAGTAATTGGTGCTGCCAGGAACAGATATGTCTCACTGTTGAGCAAAGTCTAAGAATATTAAATGCCATATTCTAGGTCTTTGAGTGTTTGAAGATTGCCCATTAATCTGAGATATATCTCTGTATGACCTTGAAAACTTAACTAACATGACCATAAGTTTGCTATTATATCTCAAATATTATTAAAGACCAGCCTTAATAATAACCTTCCCAGGGACCCAGAAGAGAAGCTATGAATGGCGAGAAATTTTTTTGAGAAATGAATCTAAGTACACCAAGCTCTTAGTCTGTCTACTTTATTCCTCTGGGATAAGATCCTATCTACACAGCTACAGTTCTGTACTCAGGCCTAGCTCCTTTCTTACCTGATTTCTCTCTACATTTATCTGCTGTCCCCTCTAAATTCTATCTTAATTCTCTCATCTTAGTTCTGCCCCATCTTGGTCTTTCTCATCTCGTTCTTACTCATCTGGCTCTTCCCCATCTTCCATCTCATTCTTCTAGTTCTCCAGTCAAAAACCTCTCTCAGTCTCTGAGGTTTACAGTTGTATGCCCATGCAACAGCAGTGTTCTAAAGCAAGGTCACCAGGCTTGAATTCTTACAGGGTCATAAAGGCAGACAAGAGTTTTCCTCAAGCAGTGACCACCAGGCTTTCTTTTACAACCCCAAAGGGGAGTGGTAAAGGAGGAGGTCCACTAAGAGCTAAAATTGGTTAATATATCAGAAAAAGGAAATTTATGTGCGCAAACTACATTCCTAGGGGTGGTTAGGTAAATGTTAGGAGTCCATAATGTTAGTATAAATACCACTAAAGCTGTATAAGAAAGGAGGGTCTGAGCTTAATTTGCCTTAATTCAGGAGATCGTTTGGCCTTGGATGTTTGATAGGAATTTCAGATAAAATACATGGTTATGAGTTCTTGGAAGCATATATAGCATACAAGAAAATCATTGTAGGAATTGGCTTTTATATATATATGCTAATATATATATATATATATATATATATATATATATATATATATATATTAAAGCTAAAATATCACCAAGACTTCTTAAGCCATGGCTTGACCTTGGAAAAGTTGACTTTTTCAAGTAGTAGCTTTTGTGATAGTAGCTGAATTCCATTACATTTTCCTGCTGCTTGCAGCAATTATAGATGACTATTAATCTGTATTTCTTAATTATATATTACATTTTTAAATGACCTGCATAAATGTAATGCCCTAAACAAGAGTAGACATATACATACAGTATAACAAAACTAACTTTAAATTTCTATCAATAAACTAAGATTCATACCAATGTAAAATATGTAATATTAATAGTTTCTTGAATTAAAGTAGATTTAAAAAATCTACCCTTTTATCCTATCATTTCTATATCCTCACTGTTTCTTTTTCAGAACAAGATCCCTGAATATAATCTCCTTTGTTTAACTTTTTTCCTGACCATTATCTATAACAGCTTGTAACCAACCCCCTTAAATGATGACAAACATTCGTAATTTATATTGGGGAATATGGGCATAGTTCTCTAGACTACTTCTTCCTGATTGGGGGACTCTATTAATCTTATGGGGACCCTGAGAAAATTTAAGATTATGGTCAAGTCCTGACTGGAGAATTCTATGAGGCTAGATCATTTCAGCCAGCATCCTTGAAGCTGTTCTAGATGCAGAACTCAGAGGAAACTGCAACAGAATTGCTCTGATATGTTGGATTATCTGGGTCATTCATTCCCATTGGAGATTTTTCAAGGGGTCTTCCTCAATCAGACCTGATTTTTCTTAACCTAGAATGAATCCAGAGCCTCTCATTTCCCATGGAAGTAAAAGCATAACTTCTTTCCCAAAGTAACATATCTTTTGATTTAAATTTTGAAGTCAAGATATTTTTAAAATATATAGGCTGGTTTAATATAACAGCTTTTATAATCAAATGTCTCTGAGCAGTTATCATTTGTTTATTAACCATCAAAAAATTTAAAGACAACATAATAACATACAGTATCTAGACTCTTTGTGTTTTCCATCTTTACATGGCTTATTATATTTTTTTTATTACCCTATTTGTTTTTTAAGGACTTTTTTGCCCTCTTTCTTTTCTCTCCCAAGCCTACATGTATTTTTTTAACACACTGTGACCCATTCAGAGGCTCTTTTTGTCTGAATCTATCCATATTGTGCATCTGTATCTTTTACTGACCGTATGAGTCTTTAAACCACTAAGCAGCGTGGCTAGGACCAAAGCAGCTGCTTTGACGGCTAGATCCACACCACTTGGTTCCCTGAGAGCCTAGTCTTGTGGTAGAGGTATGTTTGCCGCCAGCTCTGGGAGCCGTGTTGACTGCCCAACTCTGGGAAGTTTCTGAGTCCGCTCTGTCACCCAGCAGTGTGTCTCCTCCTGCTCATAAGCGCCATTAAAGTGTTTGGCGGTAGAGCCTCTCACCAGAGCCACCCATTCTGGCCACTAGCACTGGGCCAGAAAGCCGACTTTTAAAGGAGCCGTGCCTCTGCTCACTGCCAGCAAGCAGAGCCCACTGGAGAAAAGGCAGCTACCAAAGCAGCCGTCCTTGACTCTGTTCTTGTGTGTCTAGAATCCCTTTTTAAGCTTTGTCAGGTTTTATGTATAAATTTCGGCCACATGTTGGAACACCATATGTAAATGGATGTTTGCGGTCCTGACCACCCAGTCCCAAATAACCGACCCAGAGGCTCAATATGAACTATAAATGCTCAGCCAATTCATAATTCAGCAATTATAAATAGCTCAGGCTTGTTACTGGCTAACTCTTACATTTAAGTTAGCCTACACTTCTTATTTATGCTCTGGCATGTTGCATACCTTTATTAGTATGGCACATTCATCTCATGTTCTCTCTGCGTCTGGCTGGTGACTCCTCTCTACCCTTCTCCTTCCCATCATGCTTAGTTTGGTTACCCCACCTATACTTCCTGCCTGGCTACTAGCCAATCAGCATTTTATTAAACTAATTTGAGTGACAAATCTTTATAGTACCCTATAAAGATTCATGTGCTAGCAGCTAGATCCCCAGGGGCCTTAGACAGTGGTCAGACCTTTAAGAGATGGGAGGCCTAGTGGAAAGTGCTAATTCATTGAGGATAATCACCCTTGGAAGGGATTAATGTAGTTTTCATAGAACCCCAGTTAGTTCCTATGAAAGTGGAACTGTTTTTAAAAGGAGTAACTCTGGTCCATGAATGTGTGGCTTATCTTGCCTATATGATTTCACCACTGTGTTACTTCTGTCATGAAGCCCTCACCAGAGCTGAACATACGTGGTTGTCCAGTCTTGAACTTTAGCTTCTAAAACTTTGAGCTAGAGGCTGGAGAGATGCTCAGTGGTTACGAGCACTGGCTGCTCTTCCAGAGTTCAATTCCCAGCAACCACATGGTGGATCACAACCATATATAGTGGAACCCGATGCCCTCTTCTGGCATAAAGGCATACATGCAAATAGAGCACTCAAATAAATCTTTAAAAAACAAACAGCAACAACAACAACAAAAAAAACTGAGCTAAATCTCAAATTTTTATGCATTATCTAGCCTCAGATACTTGTTATAGTGACAAATAAAAGACTAAGGATATTAGCCCTCTATCAAAATGTGTCTTCTTCTAAAGCATTTTCTGCCAGTCTATAGTTTGTCTTTTAATTTTCATAGCAATATCTTTCAGAGAGCAAAAACTCTTGATATTAATGAGGTCTAATTAAAAATGTCTTCCAGAGACGGTAATTTTGACATTTTATCTAAAAAGCCATCAACAAACCCAAGTCACTTAGGTATTTTCATGATGCTCGCTTATCCTGGAGACTTGCTGTGCACTATCATTTCTACTGTCCTTTTCTCCCTGCTGCTTGTAAGTTACCAGTGGGCCTTGGCCCTCAATCTGTAAAACAGGTTTCCCCACAGAGAGACGAGGGTACAAACTTGACTTCATTTTTTGGAAGGGACAAGCATGTCTCACATGTCTTGTAAAAACCACTGGATAGTTGCATCTGTGTTAAGGTGGAGTGGCGTCCGTTGTCTCCTAACTGCAGTTTTTGCTCTGTAGCTAAGGAGACAGCTGGCCCAGGAGAAGCACTTCAGGGAATCTCTGGAGAAATCTGCATCGTCCATGCTACTCAAGCTCCAAGAAATGGGGTCAACTGTGGAGGCAGAGCGGCAGCAGGTAGAGATTGGCTGTCCTTGTTTGTTAGAGAAGCAAACCACAGAAGGGAGAGCTGGCGCGCTTCCCTATGAGCTTACCAGTTTGTTTATTTCCTCTGAATTATTGAGGTACTTTTTCCTTACTAACCTGTTAACATTCTTACTACAGTCTTAAAAATAATAGTGCAAAATAAGAAAGGCTTTGCTATTTAATCCAACAGTCTTAATTCATGAATGGGAAAGCCAAGGCCCAGAGAAGGGGATCTGTCTCAGGTTTTAAAGAGGTGAATTATGTGGGTACAGTAGCCGCCTGTACCATGCAGTCTCTGCTATGGGCACTGATTGTGGAAGTCATTGCCTTAGCTAATGCTGTATGTGTCTGATCTGGTTAGAAAATAAAGGCTAAATGGAACTAACCCTTGAAGCAAATAAATAAAATAACCAGGAACATATTTATGTTTCTGCTTTCAGTTATTGTATTCATTATTAACATGGTATTTTTGCCTTCGTTGTACTTATTTGAAGTACCTTTATGCATTTAAGATACTTTAAATTCACATTTTAGTATTTATTATTTGAGTGCATAATCTTTATCATTTTTAGCGATGACTATACTTCACAACTGCATTATCAAAAATGAATATTTTACTGAAGGAATTTATAAAAGATCCTATTTCAGTCAAAGTTAGTTAAGTGTGAATAAGACTAAAGATGCAGTTCTTCTCTTGCTCCAGCTGACCTCACGTGTTCAGTAGCCTCCTGTGGCCAGCAGCTATTGTGTTCAGTGTACATAGGATGCTCTGATGGACAGCACTTTGAGTAAGAAACTGTGGTCTGCTGAGATTTCAGCTGGGACATACAGCTGAACACACTAAGGTTGAAAACGGTGCCTTCCGTGTTCTCTCAGGTCTTGCATTGCCGTACAGAAATGGCTTTTCTTGCATAATTCCAGGTGCACACTTTGCAGCAGAGCTGCACTGCCCTACACAGCTCCATACAAACCACCCAGGAGCTGCTGGCCCAGGAGCAACAGAAGAATGGGCAGCTGGAGACGGCCACCTCGCAGCTCAACTCTGACCTAAGTATGCAAAAGCTCCTGAGAGCGCAGTTCTTTAGTTGGCCAGGGTTGGTGGTACTTCCTACAGCACAGAGTGAAAAATTGCTGGGCTCCTTTACATATGGTACTGGACCCCAGGTAAACATTGACAATAAAATTTGATCTGAATTTTCTGTGGGTGTGGTACAGGATTGGGAAGGACCTAACTTGTACCAGGCAAACTCTTTCACTGAGCTTGCTCTATGGCCTTCTTTGGGTTTGGTTTGTGTGTGTGTGTTTGTCCAGGTTTGGGTGTGCGATCTTCTGGTCTAAGCCTTATGCATCTATGTTCACAGGTGTGTACCGGTACGCCTGGCCGAGCCTCTTATTTATAAAACGTTCTCTTTCAGTTTTTCCCTTCCGTGACCACTCAAGCGTGCACAGTGAGAGCATTTAGACACTGGATTTAAAAGTGTCCATAAACTGTTAGTAAGGAAATGAGGCGGTTCTTACTGCAGCCAGATTCACCGTCTGTGAATAGGAGCCCATATTCACAGAGGCTGGTGATTGCAATGCCCCTGTCGGAGAGCTTAGAGCGATTCCCTCACTTCACAGCTTCGTCCTCAGAAGGACAGGCGGCGCGTGGTGAGTCTCGACCCCAGGTCTAGTGTGCGGTCCTGCGGCCTCAAGCCCGTCAGCCCTTTGGCCCCTGCTGGTGCGTGCACCACTGTAAAGCGGCCTTCGGCAACCTCCGCACACGAATTACGGTTCGCCTAGAGCTTTCGCAGATTGTATCCTTGAATGCTCAAGGCTGTCTGCAGCCATTCCAAGTTCTAAAAGAAAGAGAGACGAAAAACCTGACCCTGTGTCTTCTCAGCATGCCGAGTGTTTGTTTCCTCCAGTGTCCTATCTGCAGTGAGATAGAGAGCACCAAGGGGGGAGTAAACATGACAGTCGTGTAGAGAAAAGCGTAGCCAGTGTCGCTCTGCAGGTCCTGTAGAGAAAAGCGTAGCCAGTGTCGCTCTGCAGGTCCTGTAGAGAAAAGCGTACGCCAGTGTCTCTCTGCAGGTCCTGTAGAGAAAAGCGTACGCCAGTGTCTCTCTGCAGGTCATGTAGAGAAAAGCGTACTCCAGTGTCTCTCTGCAGGTCATGTAGAGAAAAGCGTACGCCAATGTCTCTCTGCAGTCGTTAGCCACTCTCCTCAGGGCGGCCGAGTGGGCAGTCACGGTGTCTGGTTCTCGTCGGCAGTGCCCCGATAACCGTCTGTCTTCTGATTGGACACCCACCCTGTAACGTGTTACAGTTCATGTTTCTTCCTCGGGCCCTCATTTTCACTTTACAGCACCTTTATTAGAAAGTAAGAAAATATGCCCGTTACACACCGTAAAGAGATGTGCGGACCGTGCTCAAGGACCCACTGCACACAGCAGCAGGGGTTCAAGTGCAGATGGTTCCATGTCTGAACTCTCCGGTCAGTCGGGTTTCTGTGACCTAGATTCACTATTTTTATTTTATTTTATTTTTGTAAAGCATGTGTGGAAGACCACTAGATGACGATTAAACCAGATAGCATGAGGGAAAGGAACCTTACCTGAATACCAACTGTTATTATTGACTCTTTATGTACAGTTTTAGTTATTTAAAGTTTAAATAGTTATATGGCTAGGTTAAGACAAAGAAATGCCTTTAAATGTTTTCCTCAATGTTTTAAAAATAGAAAAGCATATTAACAATTAACAATATATAACTTAAAATAATTGTTCTCTAGAGATAAACATTCTCCCTTTGTTCATACTTTGAGTATAACTTCAGAACAGATCACAACATTTATCTCTTTTCATTTTTCACACATTTTAAATTACACTTAGTGAGTCATGGATTCACATCTTTAAAAACCAGTTTCTACAAGATATTCCCTAAGCAAAATATGAGTCTTTAACATGTTCTATAATTGCCTGGCTCTAGAATTGAAGTATAACAGCACTGATATAGCTCTGAATTTCACTATAAAGTCCAAACATTAATTTCAAATGTATCTTTTTGTTACTGATAGACAATGCCAAACTAGTGCCCCATTTTCCTTCTTGTGTGTGTGTGGTGAGCCCTTTAACATGGGCTCACCCTGAAATCACCCTCCAGAGCTCCAGACCACTACCCTGCTGTCAACACCGTAGTCGGACGCCAGGCAGAGACACCAAAACATGCGGAAGATGTCCGAGTCCGTGCATTCCTTTTGTTCTGTTTCCCAAGTCTGCGCCCTGCCGCGCAGTCCTTATGTAGCTGAAGAGTCCAGCATTTGCCCTGCTGCCCTTCTCCGCACTCTGCGTGCTCTCCCAGGTCCCGGCCGCCCTCTCTTCCTTTTCATGAGTCTGTTTTCCCTTCCCTCTTTATTGTCATCGCCAGGAGGAAAATGGTTCTTACTGTTTTGTGTGTGTGTCCCTGATTGTATTAAATCTTGATTAGAGTAATTTAACAAAAATATTTTGACTATATTCTTTTCAGAATAATCTATGCATTGACTAAAATGTGACCTTGTTTATCATTAAAAGTAACTGTGGACCAGGTTCTTTTAGTGTCCAATTAATTTTAGCTCTTTAAAGTTAAGTTTACCATGTAGCCCAGGCTGGCTCTGAACTTATGATCCCCCTGCCTCAGGCTCTCAAATGCTGAGATTGCAGACGTGCTGTGTTGGTAATTGTGTATTTTAGCATCAGGTCTATGAAAATAGGCATGATAAAATACATGAGTTTTTATTTCCATAAAATGTTGACTAAAGCAAACGAAGCTTCTGGGAAAGTGCTGTGTGGTTTCCGTGTGTACGTCACCATCATCATCGTGAACTTTGTGTTTTTAGTTTCCAGAGATAACCTCATCTGCAAGTTGGTGGAAGAAAGTAAGGTATGTGTTCCTGTGGCGGGATGCAGAGTGGCCTCCCTCTTTACTAAGTCACAGTCCTTCACTAGTGCTAGGATATAGACTCTGATGCTTCAGAAAGCTTTCGGAGAAAGAGTTCACGTCAATAAGCTGTATATTCAGGTGGTACTGAATATTATGAACTAAGTAATCGTCTTACGCAGGTTATTGTTTTGAAACCATAAAATAAGGAGACTTTTGTGGACTTTGCCAATTATAAATTACTTTCTAAAGCAGGGTCATGAGATACAATAAATGGAATGTTGTAGTTGGTGGTTACACAGTAATGTCAGTGCATCGAACACTACTGAACACATTCTTACAGCTGGGCAGAATGGGGACCTTTACCTAAATTTAGGAGAAAATACCTCTCTGTGACAGTCACACGTTGAGTCAGTCTCTGCTCCCATGTAGAAGAGGTGTCTGCTGCCATTTCACCCTGTGTGGTGTTTCTCTTCCTGCTTCTGGGAAACTGGAGAAGTAGTTTTCTCGGTAGAAGAAGCTGCACTCTGTCCTTCCCTCTTCTACCAAGAAACTCTTAAGGAATATCAAACTAGCCTCAATTCTCGCTCCTCTTCCCAATCTCAGAGAGATCTAGTTCTGTTCCTCAGAGAGCAGGTCCTTTCCTTCACCATCCTGAGGTCCTTCTTGGTGAAAACATCCTGTAACTTTCAAAGGTATTTGAATGTGTTCCTTTGGAATCACAAAATCTTACTGGTAATAAAAATGAGTATATGAGATAAGTATTATTCTTGGAGAGAACCTACTTGATATAAGAATGTGAGTGAGTAGTTATGGAATGGTTTTAGTCATGTTTTCCTAGTCAGAATCCTAGTATGAAAGTCTTTAAAAATAAATGATAACTTTTAGAGCAATTTTACATTCACCACCACACAGAATATAAAGTATGTAGATTTCCTATATACCCCCTGCCTCTACACGGTTGGCCTTTCTACATGTGTATAGCCTCCCTGGCTCTCAACATCTCCCACTGGAATAACAGGATTACTCTAGAAGAATCAACATTAGCATATCATTTTAATCAAGTCAGTAATATACATTAGGGTTCATTCTTGGAGATTTGTTCATTCCTTGGATTTAGATAAATATATAATGACATTATTATCAAATATTGTCATATACAGAGTGATTCACTTCCCTAAAGTCCTCTGTGCTCTGCATATTCATCCCTCTTTTCCCCAACCTTTGTTAATCATTGATGTGCCTTTTCCAGAACATCATATGGTTGGGATTATATATATAACATTTAAGTGTAGCTAGAGTTTTCCTGTCTTGCCCACAGTCAGGACAAATCTTTGTCACCCGCCAGTCCCACAGCCGCTCAGACCTAACCAAGTAAACACAGAGGCTTATATTGCTTACAAACTGTATGGCCATGGCAGGCTTCTTGCTAACTGTTCTTATATCTTAAATTAACCCATTTCCACAAATCTATACCCTGCCACATGACTGGTGGCTTACCAGCATCTTCACATGCTGCTTGTCCTGGCGACGGCTGGCAGTGTCTCTGCCTCAGCCTTCTGCTTCCCAGCATTCTCCTCCCTCATTGTCCCACCTACTTCCTGCCTGGCCACTGGCCAATCAGTGTTTTATTTATTGACCAATCAGAGCAATTTGACATATAGACCATCCCACAGCATTTAAGATTGTATTCTTCCATTTAATAAATTTATATTTATTATATTTAAATTTCCTTTGTATGTTTTTATGACTTGATAGCTTATTTTTAGTGTTAAATATTACATTATTTGTATGTACCACAGTTTGTTAGCATAACATATTTTTAAAACAAAAGGATATATGTATGTAAACATATACATATATGTATGTAACAATAATTAATGAAAAAGGCCATAAATTTGAAAACAAAGAGGGGCAGGTTTGGAGGGAGGAAAGGGGAAGGGGAAATGATGTAACTATAATCTCAAAATATAAAAGAAGTAATTTTAAAAAACAATTGGTTGCTGGATGGCGGTGGCACACATCTATAATCCCAGCATTTGGGAGGCAGAGCCAGGAGGATTTCTGTGAGTCCAAGGCCAGCCTGGTCTAAAGAGTGAGATCCAGGACAGGACCAAAACTACACAGAGAAACCCTATCTCAAAAAACCAAAAAAAAAAAAAAAGTTATTTTCTTTAATAGAGTAATTTTTCCTTCTCATACACTTTCTGATTGAATTATTTATTTCATGACCAGTTTCATTTGAACAAGTAAACACTCTCCTAAACTGTATTATGGGGACTAGGATTCAACAGTCTTCGTATTCTGCTGAAAAATCAAAAACAAAAATAAAAATACCCACGCCAGGGAAAGTTAAGGAGTTTTGAGTTGAGTAAGGTTTTGAAGGACATCTTGGTTGCTTTCAAGTTCAGCAAGTAAGAGCTGAGCTGATGCTAATATCTACATGACATGCCCACTCCCTTAGTAAAAAACCTAGGAGCAAGGCTGCTGGATCATAACAGCTTTAGCTTTGTAAGAATTTACAGACTGTCTTCTGAAGGCTCCGTCATTTTCATTCCCAGCAGCAGCCAATGAGAGCACTCTGTATCCGAATCAGCTTTGGGTAAGCCCTTTGGTGACTGAGAGATAGAGGGTGTTTGGAAGTTAAAGATCCTAAGATTTCACATGCACCTGCTTGCACACAGAGATGTGCATAACATCTGCCAGTGTCAAAAGGAGAACAAACCTTTTTTTCTTCAATAGAGTACACAGATATCTTTGAAGAAGGAACATGAAGAAAACACATATTTGAAATCTGAAATGGTGTCCCTTCGAGAAGTATCAGAAAAAGCACAGGTGAATCTTTGCTTTTCTCTCTCTTTTTCTTCCTCTGTTTCTTTCTTCCTTCTTAAGCAATCAGTTTGGTTCATTAAAGAACCAAGATTAATCTTGGTTATATAAATTCATATCATCTCTTTCTTTTAGCTTTTTATTTCTGTAAGGTCAACTTCATCTGTTAATCGTTATCAAATTAACTACATTTTGGATTTCCCACCAATTTCCTTTGACACTGTGGTACACAAGCTACATGACAAAATCAGTCACAAGGGACATTTTGCTTTCTACTTTAGTGATAATATTAGTCCTGTTTTTGTGATAAAGTACCTGACAGAGGCACTTTAGGGCGGAATTCATTGTGGCTCACAGTTTGTGGTGAATCGGTCATGGCAGCGGGAGCTCAAGGTCACACTGCATCTGCAGAGAAGAGGACAGGGAGAGATGTTTGTCCTCAGCTGGCTTCCCCTCTTTATCCAGTTGGGGACCTCAGCCCACCCATGGAATGGTGTCACCCACACATAATGTGGGTCTCAATTTCATCTAGAAAATCTCCCACAGACATGTTTAGGGGTTTGTTTCCATGGTGATTCTAAAGCCCATCAGGTTGACAACAAGATCAACCATGGGGCTTTCCCTCCCCTTTCCCGGTGCCTCTCTAAGGGGCTCCGAGGCAAGGCTGCCTCCCGAACTGTGTGGTGAGAGCCATGTCAGTGCAGGAGGAGCATCAGAAAGAAATGCTCGTTAGATTTGGGATCTCGGTATGATCACTTTCTCTAAATACCCAAACTCAACTTATACTTTCTATTACTACAGGAGTGTATGTTGAGAACAGTGACTAGATACAGAGGCGCGCTGTCTCACAGACCCAGTCAAGTGTGTATCCCTTAAACTAACTTCCTGGTGGCACAGTCGGATTGCTACAGCGCTGGTGTCACTGTTCTGCTGTGCTTACAGTAAAATGAAGTAAAATGAAAAGAATGTCCTCCTGTCAAACAGTCACTACCATTTCTGTACCAATAGTCAGCACTTGTGAAGCCACTCCACACCCTAGGCGCAATTCTCAGCACCTCGCCTTACATCATCACGCTCACCAGTACTTGAGGGCTAGAAACTGTCACTCGCGATTTGACGATAAGGAAGCTCACACACAGATTTGCTATCACAGCAAAGTGGCAGAGAAGTGTTTTGTTTTTTGTGGGGTTTTGTTGTTGTTGTTTTGTTTGAGTTTAGGTAATTTGGTTTTAAACACATTAGGTATTTTTTCAAGAATGTGCCCTTATCCTCCGTGAACTTTTTCGCGGAAGCACACAGCCCACATCCAGGTGTGCTAGCACTCACCTGTGAGCCCACTCTGAAGTCAGGAGGACTAGAAGGTCAAGGTCCTCTCCAGCTGCTTAGAACGTGGAGTTCTATGTAGCCAGTCTCAGAAGACAACAACATAAACCCCGCCCAGTTTACCTTAAAGAACAGTAATTCAAGGGTACATCTGCCACAAGAATAAGGATTTCTGGAGCCGAGGGCAGGGTTATAGCACAGTGTGGGAGCAAACAATTTATGTGCTTAAAACCCCGAGTCTAATCCAGAACCTGAAAAAAATGTACAGTTTGATGTAAGAGAAACATTAACTGCTAGTATGATGCAGGGGTTTGTTTTGTTCTGAAGGATTAATCTTGAGAGATTAAAATCTGTATTTTGCTTTTGTAAATACTATCATTGCTGGTAAAAGAACATGGCTATTTTGTGTTATTGGGTAAGTAGTTCTCAATGTTGAAGATACAGTTTTGGGAGTGAATTTTTCGTATTATTAGTTAGACACTGGCACTGAGATTCCGTTCTTTAGAAGTCTTGCTCTATTGACTCGTATTCAAAACTGAAATGAGTAAAGTGCTGGATGCCTCGGGAGCTCCAGGAGTCCAGTCAGTCAGTTGGTGTTGATGACTTCCTCTCTCCCTCTCTCCCGCACCCCTTTCTGGTCACTTGGTATCAACCACCTCCTCTCCCTCCATATCACACCCCCTTCTGGCTGTAGCATCCAAACTCCCAGTTTCAGGCATTGGTACAAAGTACACTGGTCATCTCCATCTACCACTACCTCCCGCCAACTCTCCTTGTGTTCCCACCCCATCTCCCTCCTAATTTGATGTCTTTTTTTCCCCCATTATTACCATGAATCCAATTAGTGTTGTCCATATGTGCATAGGTGTGTGGCAACCTACCAGCAGCCACACCCCACAAAGAGACTGCCCTCCCCGGGTAGCCACCAACCTCCAGGAGCTCCTGTCCGGCTCCCTGTGCAGGTCGTGTGTGGAAGAACACCACTGCTGAGTTGGGCAGCATCCATGCCATGTCCTGAGTCAGCATTTCACCTTTTCTCCACGTTTGCTGCCGGCCTTAAATTCTTCCTTCCACACCTGAGAGTTCTGGGAGCTGTGGGCGGTGAAAGGTGGATAGAGACCCACAGCAGAGCACCTCCAGTTACTTAATGCTTGGTACTTTAGGCTATCATTCTCTACATTAACCTCTATTTGCTGTAAAAAATAAAACAAAACAAAACAAAACAAGCTTCCCTGACCAAGGTTGAGAGCAGCCCAAACCTGTGGGCATAAACATAAATATTTAGAATGTAATGACTGACTACATGAGCTTTTAGCAAAACAGTAACAGTAGGTTTCCTCCTAGGACCCATTATTTTCCCCAGTCAGGAGCTTTAAACCAGGCCGGAAATCCCTGGAACAGACATATCCAGTTAGGAGACAATTGGTTATTTCTGTAACAGTCATGCCCCTGCTGTATGCACCATGGGTGTATTTTGCTAGCAGGTCAGTATTGTAGCACTAAAGATTCAGTGCTGGGAAGACCATTGGTATCTCCTCTTTCCTAGCTGGTTGCTTAGCACCTTCTGGCATTATGAAAGCCAGTGAGCAGGGAGAGAGTTTCCTGTTCAGTTTAAGGTGGCTTTTGCTACGTCCTACATCCAAAGTGAGCAGTGTCTTTAGCAATAGGTCTTACTGCTTAGTTACAGTGGGTAACCAACAGAGGCAAGAGCCTCTGTTGTTTAGGTTATCTCTGGGGGCTTTCATGATCAGTAACTCATAGGGAAGTAGTTGAAAGTAGTTTTCAAGCTAATGAAATATTAATTGATGATATGTTAGCTAAATTAGGCTTAGTGGGTTACTGTGAAATCATTAAAAATAATATATAAGTGAAGTAATTATTAGGAAGACTTATGACTTGCTGTATATGTTATCTTAGGTTTTGAATGGCCAGCTTTCCAGAAAGTGTTCAGAGCTAAGCAACATGCTTCAGATTGTTAAAAAGGAAAATGCCGACATTATTGCTGAACAACATGCTATCCTGCAGGTATTCTTTTAATACTCAAACTTCTCTTACTTACTAATTTTTTCTTCTTTTTAAAAAGACAGTCTCATTATCCCATGCTGGCCTCAAATTCAGTGTGAGCTAAGAATGACCTTGACTTGTGACCCGACTGGCGCTCCCTCCAGAGGACCAGAATTAGAGGCTCAGGCTGGCACTCTTTTCAGTTTTTAACATGACGGTTTCAGAAGAATCTTACTGTGTAGCCCAACAGGCTGGTCTCAATTTCACAGTCCTTCTGCCTCAGCCTACAGAGTTCTGGGATTACAGGCTGTTGTTATAACTCATTTGTTATGTTTTGATTAGTACTTTCCTCCTTTTTGCAAAGGGGTGATTTGGCCTTAAACTCCATGATTTTTAATGCTTTCTTCACAAATATCATGACTTTAGGGAAAGTAATTATCTGTTCTAGTATTTATATAATAATGATGTATAGTTTTGACTCATTTATTTTATGTATATGAGTGTTTTGCTTGCATATATGTATGCATGTGCACTATGCCTGTCTGGTACCCACAGACTTGAGAAGTAGGCATTAGATTCCCCTCACACTGGGAAACCAAACCTGGGTCCTCTTAGTCACTGAGCCATCTCTATAGCCTCTAATGATGGTGTACATTTAAAACTGACTCTCAAATACTCATTTTCCTCCAAACGTCTGTGACTTCCCATTTTGCTTACAGTATGCTAAAAATACTCTTGACTTCGACTCAGGTTAAGATTGCCTTTCACCATGAATCTTGATCATCCTAATCAAAATGGAAAAATTTTCAAATTCTGGTCCTGGCATGCTAAGTAGTAGCTCATGTGGGTTGTGTGTGAGAGAGAGAGAGTGTGTGTGTGTGTGTGTGTGTGTGTGTTGTTGTTTTCTGTTTGCTTTCTTTGCATATACAAGTATGATATTGAGGATTTTACATATGTTACAGCTTCTAATTATTATAGCTGCTATATCTATTATTCTTATTTTTCCAGTAAGAAATTAAATAAAACATAATTAAGTAATTATTAATGTGTACAAGGCTTGCAGAAGTATTACGGACTGTAGGTAGAAGTGTTGCTAACTAGAAATGGTGAGCCAGAGAAAAAGTGCCAACGACTAGTGTGCCAGTGAACAATGATAAGTCCCATTAGTGGCACAGTGTGCTAGTGCAACGCAAGATGGCCTCAGGGGGTTCACACCATTGCCCCACACAGCTCTCCCAACAGATGGCGACTGTTTGGAGGAGAAGATAGAGATGAAAAGGCCTCTTCATCTGATGTTTATATTGTTTCACATGTTAAAGTAAGAAAAATTTTAAGATACTAAAATATTTTAATGTAAATTTTATTTTTGAAAATATATTTAGATTTATAGTTTCACAAATATTTTCAAGGCTGATGAATAATACGCCTTCATCTTTGTGTAGTAGAGCTATAAAATGACAGAACTGTAACCAAAGAGAAGGCTGGGTCCTCAAACTATTGGCTTTATTTTTGAAAGTGAAACAAGTTTTGAAGTGAGCATAGTGTCTTTGAACAGTGACGACGACAACGACTATTACCCCTCAAATGGCATCTCAGCTTTTGTTACTCTCTCAGGTGGAGCAGAAAATGATAACAGAGACATTTCAAGAGCAAAATCTCCTGTTAGATGCCGCCCATGCCAGCATCACTGACCAGCTCCAAACTGTTCAGAACGATAAAACCCAGCTCCAGATCCACCTGTAAGCCAGCGCCGGGGCCTCTTTCGTTCTCATTCTCTCGTGTGTGGTTCTGCCCTTCGTGAAACTATCTGAGTTGATGTTTGTGAGCCAACCACAGGGATGACGAATCTGCCCGGGAACTAGTTTGTAGAACGTTATGGTAACTGGTCAAGGGACTTGATGACCTTCGTCCTCTTCTTCCAGAGACCACTTAATCCTGGAGCACAGCCAGTGTGTCCAGAAAGCACAGGAAGCCGCAGAGAGGACAAAGGTGCAAAAAGAACTTCTGGAGTCAACTATTGCCAGACTGCGGGCTGACCTGGAAGCCTCAATGCAAGAGAGGAAGTCTCTGCTCGAGAAGAATGAAAGGTGGCAGCAGGAGGTGGGTGGGGACAGATTTCCCTCCCGGTGGAGGTGTAGAATGCTGTTTCAAAGCTGTACTCTGGGGTAGGGCAAAAGATGAGAACAGAAGTAAAGCTGTGTTTTAAGACTTTGAGTTGCCCACTAAAGAAATGTGTATTCTTCAACGTGTAAAGTAGTGCAGTGTGCTCTTCCTACAGCATTAGTGTTGACTGATAATTCCCCCATCCTCCTGTTAGTTACAGGGTCAGATGAAAAATACATTCCTCTAAAGGAAGCAGGAGAGGGAAAGTTAAGGCCACAGCCTGTCTTCTGGTTGGGAGGAGAGCAGTTGGAGCTGATATGCAGGTGCATCACTTGTAAGACACCTGTTGACCCTCTCTGAGAGGAAGTGCTGCTACCTCTGCCGTGTGGGGATGCGTTGACATGTCGGATGTGGTCATCTGCTCTTGTAGAACCTGTGTGTTCTAAACATTGATCCATTTCTTTTTCCCACCTGGGCAGGTCAAGAAAACAGAAAAGGAAGTAGCCAAAGGAAAATGCAATTTGGAAAAGGAATTAGCTAAAAGCAAGGTATTTCGGGTTTTATTTTTGAAGTTTCATTTTATTTGGATCCCTCTGTATTGCTGCCTACTGTCAGTGTATTTAATGAGTAGGGTGATTATCCTGATTATCAAGATGGGGAGGGCACAAAGCTAATGTCGCTTACGGCCTTCCAGTGCTTTGTGAGGGAGTGGTGCTTGTCGGGATAAGGGGTTTGCCTTTCTAAGCGTTCACTGCCTCCGGCCCTGGACTTCACCAAGTATTTCAGCCAGAAGTCTCCTGAGACTGCATTAGCTAATGGGTCTAGAAGGACAAAGGGCTGATTGCCGACACTGTTTACTGTTAAACATAAAAGCAAGCCTGGCTTTTATTTCATAAATATGTGTGCGTACATGCCACCTTATCTTTGAGTTATCCTTATGTTTTCCTGTAGTTGATACATTTTATATTTGTGCACCTTTGTGGAGTAGCTTATGGGTAAATTGATGCGTGCATGCAGTGTATAATAAATATATCTTTGAGTTATCCTCATGTTTTTCTGTAGTTGATACATTTTGTATTTGTGCACCTTTGTGGAGTAGCTTATGGGTAAATTGATGCGTACATGCAGTGTATAATAAATAAGGATCATGAGCACTTCCACATTCTCACGTTAGGGATTTTTTTGTAGGTTGTATATGTCATACTCTAGACAGTTTGAAGAATATCACAGATCATATTAGCCAATGGTTACCCTACTGTGCTGTTGAAACCAGGATCAATCCCTCCCACCCCACATGCCTGTGTTTTGGTAACTCTTATTTAACTTCTTTCCAGTCCTGCTTCCCATTGCCCCTTAATCTTTAATGATCACTATTCCAACCGGTTCTTCTAGAAGATTGACTCTAGTTTTTATGAATGAGTGAAAACAAGTAATTTGTGTCTAGCTTATTTCAGTTAACATTATGACTTGCGTTGATATACTTACCTATCCTTGTGATGGTTTTGTTTGGACATTGGGATGAACGAGCCTAATTTTTAGATGGTTCTGGTTGTTTTGAGTCTGTGTGTTGCCATGTGAACTTTTAGGATCATTTTCTAGTTTTGTAACACAGGACAACTGCAATTTTGATAGGCTATGCACTAATTCTGTACATTAGTGTGGGGGCATTGCAGTTTAACACAATATGTATATGTCCACGTGTGATTTTGTGATCTCTTTGTCTCTGCTTTCTTTGTCTTGTATAAGGTGACTAGAACTTGTGGTGTAGTGTTGACTAGAAATGGTGAGGATAGGCATCCTTTGTCTATTCGTTTGTCGTGGTGGTTTGTAAGCTGTGGGATTCTGGTAAGTTTCCCTCATGAAAGTGAGGAAATTCCTTTCTATGCCTAGTTTTGCGGAATCTTTGTTAGACTATTCTGAATTTTGTCAAATGTTTTATCTGGAGGTATAGAAATGACCATAGGGATTGTGTCCTTTGTTTTACTATTATATATTACGTTCATTGACTTCACATGCTTTTTTTTTTAAACTTGGCTTACATTCCTTAAATAAATTTTACCTGGCCATGTTATATGCACCTTTTGAATGATGTTGGCCTGGTTTGTTGAGTTTTTAAAATTTGTATTCATAAGAGATAATTGTTCTATGATTTTATTTTTCTTGTGTTAACTTTGGTTTTGGTGTCATGATAATATTCTTAAAATGATTTATAAATGTTTCTTCTCTTCATATTTTTGGCTAAGATTTTTTGAGAGTCTCATATCAGTTCTTCATTAAGTATTCTTGTAGATTTGCTAGTGAAGCTATCTTGTCATAGACTTGGCATCGTGGGAGGTTTTTTGTTGCTTGTCTGTTTCACTTTATTACTGATTCAACCTCCTGTTGAAGATCTCTTCCGAATTTCTGACTCCTTTCTCTTTTCTCAGCCTTTTGGGGGTTTTTAAATTTTGCCTTTCTTTTGAATCAGTTTCAATACATTGGTTCTTTCTAGGAGTGTGTCCATTCAATCTAAGGCGTCAACCTTTTGGCATACAATTGTTCTGACTAGTCATATCCATGTATTTCTGTAAGATCAGAAGTAATGGTCTCTATTTCACTGCTGTTTTAGTAGTTTGTATCTTCTCTGGTTTTCCTTGTTAGTCCAGCTGCCTGCTTTTTGTTTTCTGTGATTTTCCTGTACTTTATTTAATTTCTGCTCTTTTATTATTGTCTTCTGTTTGCTTTTTGTTTAACTTGTTCTTTGATTTCTAGTTGAAAATAAACTTGGGTTATTTAAGAAATATTCCTTTTGGGCTGGAGTGATGGCTCAGCTGTTAAAAGCTAGGTTCACATCCAAGAGATACTCCTTTTTAAAACAGATGTTTGCAGGAATGAATTGCCTTCTCTAAAGTGGCTTCACTGCGTACTTAAGTTCAGTTGTGATGTTCTTTCGATTTTGTTCATCTCAGGGGATTCCCTAAGTTCCCCTGAGATTTCCGGTTTTTTGAACCATTGGTTGTTTAGAAATGTGTTGATTTCCTAACATATATGAACTTTCCCAAATGGTTTTGTTTTATTAATTTTAATGTCATTATATTTTGGATGAGAACATACTTTACAGGATTTTAGCCCTTTCTAATTTATTGATAGTTACTTTATGACCTAACATATCCTGGAGATTATCGCATGTGTACATGAGAAAGGTCTATAGTCTTCGTTGTGGGGGAATTGTTCTCTTAGGGCTTATTAGTTAATAGTGTTGCTTAAGTCTTCTATTTGCCCATGAATCTTTTGTCTTGTCCTATTTAATATTACATGTGGGAGATTTGAGATCTCTATCGTTTACTTACTTCTCTATTCAATTATGTTCTTCTTTGGCTTCCTATATGTTTGGGGTTCTCTTGTTACCTGAACATATAGCTATATGAATACTACATTTTGATGGCTAATACTATTTTCCATAGGTAGTGTCCTCCTTTATCTCACCAATTTTTATCTTAATTTTTGTCTAATATTGATGTAGCCACCTAAGCTCTTTTTGGATTGTTGTTTATACTTCAGACATTTCCCATCCCCTTGCCCTTTTCATGTGAATCTAAAGTCCATCTTTCAAAAATTGTTAGATCGTTACAGTTTTTCATTCTGCCTATCTCTGCTTTCTGAAAAAGACTTTTACTTCTTTTGTGTGTTGCTGTTTTGTCTGCATGTATGTAAGTGTGCCACATGCAGGCGGTACCGAAGAGGCCAGGAAGAGCCTCCGAGCCTCCGGAACTGGAGTCACGAGTGCTTGTGAGCCAGCATGCGGGTGCGGGGAACCTAACTCGGGTTCCCTGGAAGAGCAGCTGGTGCTCTTCACTGCCAAGCCTTCTCTTCAGCCCAGTGCTTCTGCTATTTAAACATGATTTAGCCCACTTACAGTCTACATAATTATTGTTAGGAACTAGTTTATATCAGCAGTTTACTTTTTGCTTTTGTGTTTTGTTACTGCTTAATTATTGCCTTCTTGTTTTGTGAAGATTTCTGTTGCATCAATTTAACTCCATTACTGCTTTCTTTATTATACTTTTTGGCTTGTAGGTAAGATAAAGTTACAAATTTAAAAAGCCATATGGGGCTTGGGAATATGGCTCAGTCGTTAAGATCTTGCTTTCCCCTTGCAAAGGACCCAGGTTCAGCTCAGAACCACCCATAACTCCAGTTCTTCTGACTGCTGTGGGCACCAAACATGCATGTGGTACACTTTACCATTTATTTCTTATGTGAATTCCAGCAGTCATCCACTGCCCATTTGTTTTAGCCTGAAGAACTCCCTCTACTTTTCCATGTAGAGTATGTTTTCTAGCCCCAAATCTGCACACACACCAGAGGTGGGGACCTTGGTAAATTATTTTACATATTTCAATGAGATTTTAATGTGCCATCACCTCAGGGTTACGTTTAAACCAGTAAAGTTCTTTGTGTGAATTATTACAATTTTTGTTTATCTGAGAATTCTTTGATATTTTTATTATTGTTGAGGGCTGCTTTTGCTGGATTTAGAATTCTTAGCCGAGGCTTTTTCTCTTGGAATTTTTAGTATATTACACCTCTTCCTTCTGCCTTGAAATTGTGATGCTCAGTCAGCTGTCATCCTGCTGGTTATACCTGGTACATGGTGAGAGCCCTTTCATGGTTGCTTTCAGGACTTTCTGAATTTTGCTTTCCACATTTCGATGATTTGATGATGTACTACATTTTGAGGCATGCCTTCAAGTCTTACAGCGTGTTGACATTTCTAACTTTCAGAGTCTGTCAGAGGTGGGCTTTGGAAGCCTTCTCACATCAGACCATGCATACACCTGTGCCCATGTGTAAGACCCTATGCATAGACCTGACTTCCTAGAGCTTCAGGAAGTTGTAGGTGTTCTCCAAAGCTTCTAATGGTTATTTCATTCACTATCTTTATCTTCTGGATTTTCTGGTTATGTAGCTGGAGAGTTTTCTCTTCAGTCCCGCCAAACCCTGGCAGTCTGACAACCCACTTATAAAATAAACACAAAGACACTTATATTATTTAAACTGTTTGGCTTAATGGCTCAGGCTTCTTGTTAACTGTTCTTATATCTTTTTTTTTTTTTTTTTT